ACACGCGGAGATTAATTCCTATCTTATTAATGGTCTTTTGAGATTTATTTTGAGCGCCAGTCTTTCGGTATTAGGAAAATAATTGTGATACACTATGCGATAAACGAAACCTGATTTCAGTTAATTGTATATTGAAGGAATTATGGTCGAGTTGAAGACAGTTTAGTTTCTTTTATGATTAACATTCCTGGATGTGTTTTATAGCAGTTTCGAGCGTAAGAAACAGTGGATGTTTATTGTAAAATAAAAGGGGAAGGGGTAGGTACGGTTATTTTTAGAAATACAATTACTTTCTGTTTAGATTAACTTTTTTAGTACTTTTTTTTAATATTCTTTAGAATTGTAAGCTGGGTTTTTGTGAGATCAATTTCTTCATTTTCAAAATTTCCAAATTCTTAAATTCTCGAATACTTAAGCTCCTAAATTTCTAAATTCCTAAATCTCTGAATTTCCAAATTTCTGAATACTGAAATTTCCAAATTCGCAAATTACTTATTCCTCAATTTCCTGAGTTACCAAATTTCCTATTTCTGAATTTCTCAAATTCTCAAATTGCCAAGTCCCCAAACTACCAAATTCCCTATTTCTGAATTTCCCAAATTCCCCAAATTCCCAAACTCCTAAATTCCCAAATTCCCAATTTCCCCAAATTCCCCAAATTCCCAATTTCCCCAAATTCCCCAAATTCCCCAAATTTCCCAAGTTCCCTAAATTTTCCAAATTTCCGAATTCCCAAATTCCCAAATTCCAAAATTCCCAATTTCCCCAAATTTCCCAAATTACCCAAATTACCCAAATTCCCCAAATTCCCCAAATTCTCCAAATTCCCCAAATTACCCAAATTCCCAATTTCCCCAAATTCCTTAAATTCTCCAAATTCTCCAAATTCTTCAAATTCCCGATTTCCCCAATTTCCCCAAATTTCCTAAATTCCCAAATTCCCAAATTCCCAAATTCCCAAATTCCCAAATTTCTAAATAATCTACACTGCATACCAATAATTGCAATATAAGGAAAGGGAACCCCACTAAACATTTTTACAGAAAAAAATTATTGAATATTTATCTTACTATTAATGTTTGTTATTTACATATTAAAATAAATTCTGTAATGTGTAATAATGTCTCATAATGTTTCACAATGTCTAATAACCAAAAATTGTATAAATTGCTTTCCATTATTAACTAATTCCTATATATTAAAATGTCTCCAGTAAACTACCTAATACACAATAACTCTTGAGTATCATAACGAACTGTTTAGATTTCCCTATTTCGTCATTTTCCCCAGGGAAGTCTATCGTGTTTGGCACTGTGCTACAATGTGTAATTTGCATCGTATGATTTGGACCATGTCGCAATAGTAAACATGCATTATCATGTACTACATCACTCAGCCGTACACATGATGATGTATTCTCAGGTTCCATATTTGATTTAGAAAGAGTATGAAATTATTCATTAGCAAAGTTATAAAATTATTATTAAATCGTTATCGTGAATCGTAAAATTATTATTCGTTTATTACCAAAATTATAAAATTATTATTCTTCACCAGTAAAAATTGTAGAATTATTATTCATTCGCCGGCAAAAATTATAAAATTATTATTCATTCATCAGCAAGAATTGTAGAATTATTATACATTCATCAGCAAGGATTTAAAAATTATTATTAATTTATTAATAAATGTTATAAAATTATTATTCATTCACCAGAAAAAATTGTAGAATTATTATTCATTCATGAACAAAAACTATAAAATTATTTATTCATCAGTAAAAATTATGAAATAGTAATCAGTTCGTTAGCAATAATTATAAAATTATAATTAATATCCTCAAAATATATCTTCGTAATTTATAATTACGCAGACATTTACATCAAAGTCTGCAAAACACAAAAAAAACGATAATCCATAATATTCATATGGTCCTCAAATTTCATAATTTATGCCTTACAGCGATGTACTAAATGTATAAATATCAGCACTCTACTTAAACAGTATTATGTGTAACTTAATCTACATTAACACCAACACGTCTAAAAAATAGATAATAAGAAACTCTATACCATTCATCAAATTAATTTAATAACATCGATTACAATACAGTCTCCTAGAGAAAGTAGTAGATCAGTCTACTATAAAGGAACAAAGCTGAACGTCACATGTTCAAGTTTTTTGCCCTGAAAACGAAACGTGCTCCCTCGATACTAAACCGGCCAAGGAAAAACACGATCCCCGTGGCTATTCTCGCATGTTACCGATGCATGGCTCTCGACAGACGCTCTAACCAGAATGGTCAACTCCAATAATAGCAATGGAAGGAGAAACAGAATAAAAAGACCGAAAGAAAAAAACGAAAGAAGCAGAAAAAATCACGACAATTCTCTAATGGCGTCATTAAAGTACAGCGTACAAGTACGACGCTATCGATTAAACTGTGAATTAAGGCGAGGATCGGTACGCTCGAGTGGATAACACGACACTCCTGTCTATATTTTCTTTGATCCTGGTGTCTGTCGAGTATAAGAAGCCTGTGTCGATCGTCGTAACCCGTTTCGTTCGTGCTCGTATTTACAGCTACGCATATAAATTCGCAATCAAGTTCCACCAACCACTCGCGTCTCTATTTCTGTATCGCGAAAACACTTTACGACCGCTAGCTCAATTTGTTTTCCGCTCTGCTGCTGCTGTCGGAAAGAAAGAGGATCTCGAGACGTCGAGCGATGCCCATTAACACGTTCGCCGTCACGCAGGACACACGCGTTACGAATTTTAATTACTTTCGTAATTAACTCGAGTGTAACATTAGACAATCAAATTCTTACATCAAAATATTAAGAAATTCTCATACAAACTTGACAAATTTTTACGACGTTGAATATTCAGATACCGCAGCACCTAAATTACTGACTTCGCAAATTAGAACGTCAGATCCATAGATTGCCGTGTTTGAACACCTCAAAATCCAGAAGTTCACGTATACCAAGCTTAACAAATTTCTGGGACGTTAAATCATTAGATCTGCAGATACTTGGGTTTCTAAATACATAGCTTCGTAAATACTGTGGAACGTCAAATCCATAGATATCCATATTCGAAGACTTCAAAATCCAGAAGTTCTCTTATACCAAGCTTAACAAATTTCTGGGACGTTAAATCCTTAGATCTACAGATACTTGGGTTTCTAAATACATAGCTTCGTAAATACTATAGAACGACAAATCCATAGATATCCATATTCAAAGACCTCAAAATCCACAAGTTAGATTCTGAACTTTCTAAATAACTTTGCACGTTGAATTCCTAGATCTTCAAATATCTGTGCTCCTAAATTTGCAGCTTCCCAAATTATAGTGTCAGATTCATATCCAAAAACCCCTCCATATCTCCCTAAATCCACTTCTCTCCTTTTCCAAATGAAGGTTTCCAAATGATTACAATAAACAACAGTAAAAAGTATCGACAAACCCTTGCACTAATAATTTTCAGTCGATAGCAGGCGTATTAATCTTCAAATAACCTCGGCATAAATTTCACCCAACCGTAATGCCACAAAATCTCTCAGACCTCTGTCCGGAGGTGCAGCAGGTGGCGCAAAACCGTGTAATACATTTCCTTTCGAATGATAATAAATCTCCCGTTCGAATCATCGTAGTTAATAACGAAAATCGACAAGTCATCGATGTACTCGTCTACAATGTCACCGTTATCGTTCACGCTAATTTAAATCTTATTAACAATTGCGTCCCGGCCTTTCGACTTAACGATGACAGATCGAATGACAGGGATGTGGTGCGTGACAGTGATCGAGTCCGTGCAGGAAACACCTTTCGATAGATATCGAGTGTTAGCGAAGTCAATAGGGCAAAACATGTCCTGGCCGTAGACAGAACAATAATCGATGTGCGTCCGTCTGTTCGTTCTCTGACCGGTGCTTCCTCCAATAGGATGCCTGCTGTCAGTGCGAGCAGCAGGTGCGATCGTGACTTGCCTTCTCCCTTGTCTACGTACGATAATTACGCTTACGCTATCTACATGACTCTACGTACCGTTGCTCTATCACGTGTATACTAACCTTGTCCAACTGAAACCGTGATAGTCGTACATTGTGCGACGTGAGCTTGGATAACAGCTGTATGCAAACTTCAGTGTTTCAATTTATAGATTTATCTGTTGAATCGATAGATTGTTAATTATTTATGGTGCTTTTTAGCAGGGTTCAGTTGATAGGTTCTCATATGTGGAGGTCTGGAAATTCAAATGTCCTCACATCTCATGTTTTTCAAATTACTGGGTTACTGGCGAGTGTCTCCAAATTTCTGGATCATCTTAGGTCCTAAAATCTTAGAATTCCCATATCTCGAGGTACTCAAATCCTAAAGTTCCAAAACCGTTATTTCGTCAAATACATTCCTTAACTTTTATGTTTTCCTTCATTCCTCAACTAATTCTTGATGTACCAAATCTACTCCAAGAATCTTTAGATTTCTATGTCTATCTTGGAGATTCATAGTTCTCCAAATCTTACAGTCTTCAAATTCTAAACTTTTGAAATATCTACGTCTCTTATTTAATATCTAAGTCCTAGATCTCAAAACTTTTACTCCATCAAGTCTTTATATTTCCAAATTCCCAAACCATCATACCTAAATTCATATACCCATGAATTCTTAAATCCTAGTCCTCAAATTCCAAATTTCCAAGATTACATTCCCTAATTTTTACATCCCCTAATTTTTAATCGCCCAAATCACAAAATCCTCAAATTCTTAAACCAAATCTCAATGTTCCTAAAATCACAAAAAAACTGTGATTCGACATAGACAGTTTATTGTTACATGTAAAATTACCTATTTGACAAGGATTATGTACTTCGTGTTACAAAGTTTGTTTCACTATCTGAGAATGTAAATTATACTTTCTTGTGTTACATATATTTTTGTACATTCTTTGTTCACCGATATGTAATACATTAATTCTACCTCTGATTTCAGGTGAGCCCGGAGGTTATTTCAAAGTTGCAACTCAACTTTCTTCGATCAAGGGTGACAGCTATCGAATTATTTCACCAGAAAATAAATTTGAATTCTTACGTACGTCTTTACAATGATTTATAAATAATATAGTATATAATACATAGTATATATAAATAATAATATCCGTATAAATAATATAAATAATAATATCTACATAACTAACGTTATAATATAGCAATTTCTTGACACTGTATTTAACAGTACTTATTTTGTTTTTTGAAAGAGTTGAGAGTATAAATTGAATTTACTATATGAATTCTGAACCTTTGTACTCGATAGAATTTTAATTCTGCCACGCAGCAACCTAGCTTCTATAATTCTAATTATGTAAACAATATAGTATAAAATTGTATGAAAAACAGTATCCAAGACTTACATTAATTAGATATAAATAAAGCAATTAACGACTTGTACAGTGAAGATGTACATTAATTCTAAAAATAATTTTCCACGGTTTCGTTGATATAGCTTAATGGAACGGTAATAATTATTTCGAAAATATGTTAGCACATTATATATCTGTTTAATTCAACAATTAACGAACAATTATATGAAACGACTCGTTAATTTAATCACTCCAACATTCTTGTATCCATTGTTCCACCTGAACAAAATCGCAGAACTAATTGAGAAAGTGTTGATGTTTTTCATAACGATTAAAAGTTAATTGTTATTTGAGAAGTTAAATGGTCTTTAATTGGACGAGGGAGAAGTAAAAACTAAATTCTAATTGTCGATTAGAACCACGCATCAATACCACGCATTAGATTTCTACGCTTTGAATTGTCACGCGTTGCATTATCTTATTTTGTTTTTTGAAAGAGTTGAGAGTATAAATTGAATTTACTATATGAATTCTGAACCTTTGTACTCGATAGAATTTTAATTCTGCCACGCAGCAACCTAGCTTCTATAATTCTAATTATGTAAACAATATAGTATAAAATTGTATGAAAAACAGTATCCAAGACTTACATTAATTAGATATAAATAAAGCAATTAACGACTTGTACAGTGAAGATGTACATTAATTCTAAAAATAATTTTCCACGGTTTCGTTGATATAGCTTAATGGAACGGTAATAATTATTTCGAAAATATGTTAGCACATTATATATCTGTTTAATTCAACAATTAACGAACAATTATATGAAACGACTCGTTAATTTAATCACTCCAACATTCTTGTATCCATTGTTCCACCTGAACAAAATCGCAGAACTAATTGAGAAAGTGTTGATGTTTTTCATAACGATTAAAAGTTAATTGTTATTTGAGAAGTTAAATGGTCTTTAATTGGACGAGGGAGAAGTAAAAACTAAATTCTAATTGTCGATTAGAACCACGCATCAATACCACGCATTAGATTTCTACGCTTTGAATTGTCACGCGTTGCATTATTACGCGTTGAATATCCACGAGCTGAATTACTACCCGTTAGATATCCACACGCTGGCTTACTACGCGTTTGATTACCACGCATCAGATTCCTACGCTTTGAATTACCACGCGTTGGATTACTACGCGTAGAATATGCACGCGCTAGATTACTACGCGTTGGATATCCATACGCTGTATTAGTACGCGTTGGATTACTACGCATAGGATTACCACGCGTTGCATTACCACACGTTGCATTATTACGCGTTGAATTACTACGCGTTGAATATCCACGAGCTGAATTACTACCCGTTAGATATCCACACACTGGCTTACTACGCGTTTGATTACCACGCATCAGATTCCTACGCTTTGAATTACCACGCGTTGGATTACTACGCGTAGAATATGCACGCGCTAGATTACTACGCGTTGGATATCCATACGCTGTATTAGTACGCGTTGGATTACTACGCATAGGATTACCACGCGTTGCATTACCACACGTTGCATTATTACGCGTTGGATAACTACACGTTATCCGAAGCTGCCGCTCTCGCGTCTGCGCACGCGTAATCCTCACGCTCTGATTGGTCCCTATTTTTCCTTAATAATTCAAAAACCAAGCTTCAAACCCCATTTTTGCAAAGGGAAATCTTATTCAGAATCACGTCAGCTATCCTCCATTTCAGGGACCTACACTAATTATTAGACACCCTGTATATAAACACGTAAGGGTGATAAGTAAACCTTGTTTTCTAAAATTAAATTAAATTATGTACCTTTTATTCCACTGTGAGAGTGCAGTTGTTCCCAGTACACAAGTTACTTATAATTATATGTTATATTATATTATATATAACTGTAACATATTATATGTTTATTTTACTATCACCAAATACCATATAAAGACATATAACATCAAACCTAAAAGTGTCCTCAAAATATCAACAGACGTTATGTGAATATTACATATATGTTTATCTTAGATTAATTGGAACGGCACACTCCGTATATTTTTATTCAATCAAATAACGTAGACTTTCAATCTGCGACAGTATTGCAATAAGAAGTATCCGAAACGTAAGAAAACGCATCGTTATAAATTACCATTTACCAGGCAGTCGTTTAAACTGCTTCGCTAGTTTGGGTCCGGTTAAAAACGAAGAGGATAGTGGCATATACACGGCTCCATTAATCATCCGCTCGCTTAAACATTCCGCTCGACAGGTATCGTCGGACGCGAGTATTCTCGTCCGGATGCCTTCACGAAAAATCGCCGGTAGATCAATTTGTATACACGCGTGCGCTCGTTTGTACCGGTACAAATGACAAACAAACGGAGGCGTTTTCGCTGGCTATTTATGCGCGACACAGAAATACCGAAGCACCCTTCGCGATAGTAGCACGCGCGACGTTTCCGCTCGCAGCCCTCTTCACGCTAATTATTTTCGTCTCGATCCGAGTATCTCCGATTGCTCGATTTCTTTTCCATACATCTCCTAATGAACCGTGGAATAATTTACGGGAATGATTTATAGCTGACCTCGTTTAAGCAGTTTAGACGGCCGTGTCACGTGGCGAAATTAATACTTACTCATACTATGGGGGAGCCGAATGATACTCGGCCCAACAGAAGTTATTAATTACGCGAGCAAAGAATGACACGAAACAGGGAGATGGGAAACGAGGACAGAGGGATTGAACATCTTCGTTTGGGTGTTGGGAACACAGTTATTCGCGATGGTATGCATATATCATTTATGCATGACACGCAGATACGTCCACCCGCGTGTACCACGGGCGCTGCTTGGAAATATTTCTACCGATGGTAACCCGAGAGTTGGCGCCTGAAGAGGTTGAAGCAATTGAAATAAAATTTAATGTAATCCTATATGATTATAGAAATAATCAATTTTTTCAATTTCATTTACACGTAAATGTAGTACACATTTTTTTTCTTTCCAAATTTCCAAATTCTCAAGTTACTAAATTTCCAGATTTTCAAGCTTCCAAAATCTCAACTTACCAAATTTCCAATTTCTTAAATCTCCAAATTGTGAAATTTCCAGATTCTCAAGTTTCCAACTTCTCAAATTTTCAATTTCTCGAATTTCCAAAGGCTCAAATTTCCAAATTCTCACTTTTCCAAATTCTAAATTTCCAAATTCTGAAATTTCCAGATTCTCAAGTTTCCAACTTCTCAAATTTTCAATTTCTCAATTTTCCAAATCCTCAAATTTCCAAATTCTCAATTTTCCAAATTCTTAAATTTCCAAATTCTCAAATTACCAAATTTCCAATTTCTTATATCACCAAATTCTGAAATTTCCAGATTCTCAATTTTCCAAATTCTCAAATTTTAAATTTCTCAAATTTCCAAATTCTCAAATTTCCAAATTCTCACTTTTCCAAATTTTGAAATTTCCAGATTCCCAAGTTTCCAAATTCTCAAATTTTCAATTTCTCAATTTTCCAAATCCTCAAATTTCCAAATTCTCAATTTTCCAAATTCTTAAATTTCCAAATTCTCAAATTTCCAAATTTCCATATTTCCAAATTTCCAAATTTCCAAATTTCCAAATTTCCAAATTTCCAAATTCTCAAATTCATAAATCCCCAAGTTTCTCAATCTTTAAATACTTAAATTCCAAATTTACAAAATTCAGGTTCATGAAGTTCATAAGATTCATGAGGTTCAATAAGATTCATAAGGATCATAAGGTTCAGTAAGGTTCATAAGGTTCATAAGGTTTATAAGGTTCAGTAAGGTTCATAAGGTTCATAATGTACAATAAGGTTCATATGGTTTAGTAAGGTTCATATAGTTCAGTAAGGTTCATATGGTTCAGTAAGGTTCATATGGTTCAGTAAGGTTCATATGGTTCAGTAAGGTTCATATGGTTCAGTAAGGTTCATATAGTTCAGTAAGGTTCATAAGGTTCATAATGTACAGTAAGGTTCATATGGTTCAGTAAGGTTCATATGGTTCAGTAAGGTTCAGTAAGGTTAATATGGTTCAGTAAGGTTCATAAGGTTTATAAGGTTCATTAGGATTCATAAGGTTCATAAGATTCATAAGGTTCATAAGATTCACAAAGTTCATAAAGTTCACAAGATTCACAAGGTTCACAAGGTTCATTAGGTTCTGTAACTGTGAGTGTTACAGAGAAACATTAGAGGTACACAAGTTTATTATAAGAATGAAGAAGAGTAGATGGGCAACTACTTTCGTGTAATAACGTATATTGTATTATAGTCACTCCTACGTAAAGCTTGAACACTGTTTTTCCTTTCATTTTGCTCTCATTCCATAAATTTCACTTTACTTTGCATATTAAGCAAGCGGATCTGCTAAACATGTTCAAACGAGCGGCTAAGTGCCGCGCAGGTTGCGAGCGATTTATAAGCCGCGGTAATAACGTGCGAACGATATTATCGACAATCAATTCTGTGGATAATAAAAGTTATAACATAACGATTAAATAAGTCGTGTATGGTAATACGTGTGGATTTAAAAAAAAAATATGTTACAAACGTTGCGTACTGAATTTGAAATCACTTCGTGTTTTTAATGAAGCAATTTTATACTTCTTGTTTCTGAAATTCTTCGACATAACTATCATTTTTATTTAACGTGAAAATTGCTTTGATATTTTTATCTTCTGGCGTAAATT